ATCAAACAATCCAAACTCTGTGGCTCTTAGAATTATTTTATTGTAAAAATCAGAGAAAGGCGGATTATTAATAGTTGTCCAAATGAATACATGATAGGAAACACTTTCTGGCAATATCTTAACACTCAACGCTTTTCCTTTTAATAAGAAATATTCATTAACGTGATTTTCAGCATCAGGAAGAATGCAGCTTATATTTTTATAACGATCCAAGTATTCTAAACAGCGTGACGGCACAATATCATCTTTATAGTCGGAAGCTTTATGTTTAGCTAATAGCTTTTCAAAGTATGGAACGGAAATATAGTCTTCTATTTGAAAAGAAGTAAACATATCCATTTGCACTCCTAAAGAAGAATCAGCTAATTCTTCCAAAGTCGAAATTTCCGGTACCGGCTGTAGACTAATGTCCAAAATTACCGAATAGAAATAACCCGTGTAAACAATACATGTAATCAATAAAGAACCGAATACAATTCTTTCTATCCATCTATTTGGTTCTTGATTTGCGGGCATTCCAATTATAACTTGACTCAAGTTTAAAGGTTGCCATGTGGTTTTATTAAAATTCAAGAAAAAAGCTGTGAGTAGAATGATGCCAATCATGCAAATAGTTATCATTATCATATATAAAAGTTCTGCTGAAAAAACCATTTTGTTTGATATCTTTTGCGTTCTTGGAACTACAGCTTTAACACTATCAATTTTTTGAATTCGTAAAATTTGTTTATTATCAAAGAGTAAATCGCTGTATTGAATATCTAAATACAATTCTCCTGAATCTTTTGCATTTTCTCCTCCAACTTCAAAATTCATTGCCTTGGAATAAATTTGCAAAATTTTTTCGTTCATCCACCGTCCTTGCCCAATATCATTATAAAAATTAGTAGTCGCAAAATGAAAGTAGTCCCATCTTTTTCCGTTTAGATCCTTTAATTTATCCGGAAACCATTGAATTTTGGGTGCTATCTCCAAAGCAGTGAAAGTTTCTGTAAATGGATTTATGTGACTCAAAAAAGGTTTCATATCGTGGCTTTGACTGTACGTCATAATTGTTATATCTAAATAACGATAATCCCATAAGGACTGCAAGGTAATGTTAAGATACTCATGAGTTGAATTGAAAGAATTCATAATTAAACATCTCGGTAGTGCTGATTCAGAGTCACCTTTTACATATATAAGTATCTCTTCAATTGAAGTCATTGAATACTCATTCTTTACTTCAAAGACAAATAAAGTCGAACTTCTATAATTCATTTCATCATAAATACTACAACGGAAAAAAGTAAAAAGCATTATTTTACTTCGAAGAAGGCTTAAAATTTATGAAGCGTGCTACTAATTTTTCGATGGAGATATTTTTATATTTTATAGCATTTTCGTACTAAAAGGTTGATTCAATCCAAAGTTGATTTTGCAAAATTTTACTTTTCTAACAGTTATTGCTTAAACAATTTTTACGCATTTCATTAGCGAAACATTTTTTCCTGCCGTTCTATTTGATGGATTTTATTAAAATTTGGAATGAGTAATATACAAGAATCATACTTTCGATCGAATCGTATTTGTTCGATTTATTTTAAAAATTATTGCAAAACATCTGTTTCATTAAAAAAAATTAGATTGCAATAAGCTAAAGTAAATTTATAAAAAAGAATTTCTTTTAGATATAATTTTACCTAAAGTGTAATTGTTTATAAAAATGATAAAGTTATTTGCAAAATAACTTTTTTATTAAATTTTAATTTGAAATCTTCTCAAAATTATTCAAATATAGAAATGTAAATAATTCATTGAATAATTCAATGCTTTTTAAAATTTAATTCTTATAAAGAATTTTAATATTTATTTGGTAGATAAACGGGTGAAAAAAATACCCTTTACATAATATAATACATATGATACATATGAGTAATATCTAGATTCTATAAATTAAACATCGGCCAGTACAGAAAATTGTAATTATAAATTTTCATTTAAGACAATTGCTCGTAATGCGGCGACAAATCTCTTTATTTTTATATCAAAAAATTCAAGGCTACTAGGACAAAGATTCGCTTGCCTACAGAGTCTAGTAATAATAGAATTCTTTCCATAATTAGTTCTATGTTTTTTAATATAAAACAAATTATAGCCTCTTAAGACTCTAACTGGAGTATAAAAATTAACCTGAGAGAGAATTCTAGGACAGTACACGATGCCGTTTATAATTTTAAACAAAAAAAGCAAGTCATTATATCGAAACCTTGTGTGTATCTTAGGAATTTTAAATTGTGAACGTAAAGCATCATAGTTATGGAAAAAAAGTCGTAACTAATACCAAGTTGCCTAGCAACAAAGCGCAAAAAAAGATTTTGAACTCTTTTAAGTCTAACAATGTGAATGAGGTAGAAAGGAGACCATATCACAGAAGCAAATTCAAGGATTGATAAAACAAAAGAATAGTATAAAACTTTAAGGGAAGTTAAACTTCTAAAATTTGATGCATTTCGTATAATGAAACCCAATAATCGAACATTTTATCAACACTGCAAAAATAGGAGTCGTTTTTGATATCTTAAAATAAGATGTAAGGTGAAAAAATGGTATCTTACATCTTAAAATAAGATGTTTCCTAAAGCATCTTACTGATATTTAAGATGCTTTATACGTTTTAGCAGTGATGAAGATATTTCTCCCATCTTAGAAAAGTAAGATACTTTGGTAAGTTCTTTAAAGTATCTTAAATTAAGATGTTTCTGTTGCAATTAGATGTTTAGCGATAAGTTACTTGAGAATCGTAAGATGCGTTATAATGTGTACGTTACTAAAAACTAAGATACATAAAGTGTTTTCCATAAGAGCCCATAGTTAACCTCAAAACTTTTTGCCCCAAAAATACACAGAAAATGTGTACGAAGATATACTTTTAACATCTTAAATTAAGATGTTTAAAGTAACTAAAAAGTGTCTACCAAAACATCTTAGAAATGACTACCAAAACATCTTAAATTAAGATACTTCTTTTTGAGGTGAACAAATTTTTAAATAATTGAATTCTTTTGGTAAATTTTAATAAAATTTTTAAGAATAATTACATTTTTCGAGGAATTCAATTACAATTGTACTAAAAATAATTCAAAATCTGCGATAAGTTTCATTATTTATAAAAATAATTTAATTTCTAAAACAAATTTATTATTCATAAAAATAATTTAATTCTTAAAAAAAATTTATTATTTATGAAATTAATTGAATTATTGTAAAGAAATTTACAAAAAATTTGTTTATAATTAAATTCCTGTGTAATTTGTATTATTTATGAAAATAATTTGTAAATGTTTGAGTACAATTATTTTATTGAAAAATTTAATTCTTTCAGGAAATTTTTTTAAAATAGCTTGAAAAAAATTGAAATAATAAAAATAATAATAATAAATGAATTCTGGAGAAGAATTTTGTTATCTATAACGATAATTGTGATTTTGACGAGAATTTATTTTAAATTTTGAACATAATTGAACTTTTGTAAGAAGAATTTTATTACTTTTGAAAATAATTGAATTTCGGCAATTATTTGTAACTTCTCCAAAATTCAATTCATTAAAATGTTTTTAAATAAAATTTTTTTATAAATCCATTCTTTTTAACAATGAATTAAATATATATTGATATATTTAACTAGTTTCAAGAAGAATTTGAATTAGTAAGATTTTGCTAAAATCTAAGTTTTTAAAAATTTTTAATTAAATTCATTAAAAATTGAAATTTTATAAAATTTCAAATTAAAGCCTTTTGAAAGTTTATCTATTTATAAAAATAGCAAACTCAAATCTTTTAAAAGTCAATTAATATTGAAATATTTAAGTAAAATTATTCATTAAATGATTTCTAGGTCATAATAATTATTATGATAGTTATTCAAGAATAATGTTATTTAAAAAGAAATATTTCTGTCAGAAATAGAAAAATTGGAAGGTTTTGTATTAGAATTCGTGGTGATTACATAGTAAAAAGGACACTAAAGTTAAGAGTATTCTTATGAATTCTAAAAATTTAATTTTTTTCAGTACTTTTTATAAAAAGGTCTGACTTTTCCTTGAATCCCCTGTTTTAGAATATATGATTATTGAAGTTATAATAGTAATAATCAGTTTTTAAATTCATATCTTTTGTTTTTATGGAAAGAAATTTTAATAAAAAATTTTTAAATTCTATTTTTTTTAAATTGCGAATTTTATTTCATTAAAATAGTATGCAACAAGTTAGACACGCGCTTTAGGACGCGAATTCTTGATAGTAACTGTTAAAAAAATTTAATTTTTGTAAAATCAACTTTGTTGTCATATTTTGGTACGAAAATACTATAAAATTATTGATATGCAATATAAAAATATTTCTATCGAAAAATTAGTGACACGCTTCTGAAATTTAGAGCCAAAACTGTAATTTTAATAATTATAATGTTGTGATTTTTGAGGTAATTTTTTTAACTATACCGACCGTTCATGCCAAGTCTCAATGTCATTATAGTTGCTGCTGAAAGATGGAAAATGTTGATTGACTTCTTTTATTAGCGAATTCATCATTGGATCTGGATTTTCGGATTCATCTTCAAGAATAAACACAACTCGATAGAGTTTAGATTCGTATTTTAGATAATTCATAAATCCAGCGAAGTAATCTGTTCTTGCAGGTTTCTCCAGACTAATTGTTAAACGTTCTGCAAGAATTTCCTTCCAGAAAATATAAATAATAAAATATATTCCAATAAACTTCATATTGATAACCACTTGTTAGTACTGCAGGCTAAGGAATGACTGCCGAGTATTGAACCAAAATCGAAAGTATTATTTCCAGTTGATTATATTTTCATTATTTTAAAAAGCGTTTTCTTTTATCGAAGGGACGTAAAATATACTTTAATAGGGCATTCAAGTTAATTTGTTTATTAGTCAAGTATATTACTTTTTTGTTGATGAAATTGTTGCTATAGTGATCTACTTTTAATATTCAGCAGAAGTACATTGTCGAGAATTTTTATACATTTTTAAAAGTTTGCCAAGCAGGAAGCGTTTGCGAAACTCTTTAATATATATTTAATGTATCGAATTTAATAATACATGGCAAAATTGTAGCTAAGAAGTCAAGTTTTCAAACGGTCCTACTCTTTTTTTTATTTTTTTTTAAATACACTTTTTAGACTCCTTGTTCTCCTTTTTGACCCCGAGGTCCTTCGACACCAGGAAGCCCTGCTTCATCTTTTTCACCCTGAGGTCCTGGAGGACCATGAAGTCCCCTTTCTCCTTTTTGACCCGCAAGTACATAAAGAGCATCAATTCCTGCTTCTCCTTTTTGTCCCGTAGGACCAGGATATCCGGCTGCTCCTTTTTGTCCGTCAAGACCATTAAGTCCAGGTTCCCCTTTCAATCATCGAGGACCAGGAGGTCCAGAAAGTCCACGTTCTCCTTTCAACACTGATCCTGGAGGTGGGCAGCGGCATTGGAACTCAAGCTTCTTTTCTGTAAATTATATTTTTAATCCCTCTCTCCTAAATACCGAATTTCACCAATTAAATGTCAAATTTAATAAACAGAATTAAATTCTACTCCTGAATTTGATTTTCTTTTTCAACAAATATTCGTTATTTGTAATTTACCATTTTTTTTTGTTACTTACGCCTCCAAACATTCGTACAAATTTCTCGAACTCGGTCATCATCAACTGCTTTTAAAATTAACAAAGCTCTTATGCCTTCACACTAAATTTCAAAATTCTGTAGACCAAACCAACTTACGAAAACTGAATATTCTACAATATTGAAAAGAGGTCCATAAAGACCGTAATTTATTAGAGAAAACACGAACAGTTCGTACATTGTACGATATAATTTTCGAAAATAATCAAATTATTCGCAAAAATTCAATTATGTTCAAAAATTTTTTTAAATTCTCGACAAAATTTCAATTATTTTTTGAAAAAAAATAATTAAATTCTTCTCCGAAATTCAATTATTTTCAAAAATTCTCCTCAATTCAATGAATTTCAATATCTGTTATTTTCATAAATTTTGTTCAAAAGAATTCAATTTTTTAAAAAAAATTTAATAAAATTCTAAACAAGCTTTTAATTATTATCAAAAAATAGTAAAAATTTCATAGGAATTTCATTATTTACAAATTTTTTTGTATAAATTTCTTCGCAATCATTTAATTATTTTTATAAATAATAAAATTTTTACGGAAATTCAATTATTTTCGTAAATAATAAAATTCTTTTTAGAAATTCAATTATTTTCATAAATAGATAAAACTGATTGCAGAATTTCAATTATTTTTTTTAATACAATTTATTAATCGAATTCTGCGAAAAAATGTAATTATTCTTTAAAATTTTATTGAAATGCTTTAAAAGAAGTCAATTATTTATAAATTTGATGATAAAATCATGTATAATAGTTGAGTTTTAAGAAACATTCAATTTTCCAATAAATTATTAATTTTTATATTTAAATAATTAGATTACAGTTAAATTTCTCACAAACATTGATTTAAAAATGGATTTCAGTTAAAATTTTAAATTATAATTGAATTTTAAAAGTAGTATAGCTTGAATTTTTAGAAATAATTGAATTTTGAAAAGATTTTAAGTTAAAAGCTTTGAAAATCTTAATTTTGCATGCCAAGTGTGAAGAATTAATTTTTTTCTAAAAAGTTTAATTGAATTTTTTTTTGGAAACTATTTGAACATTTTATTTTTTAACATATATTTAATTAAAGAATTTCCGAATAATCAAAATTTCCTAAAATTGAATTGTAAACAAACGAATTTGAAAATTCTAAAGGAAATTTTGCAAAAATTATTAAAAATAATTTTATTAAAATATTAAATTTTGAAAATATTCAGTTAAAAACACGAAAACAAATTCAATTTTTGAAAAGTTATAAATTCTTCTGAGGGATTCAATTATTTTCACAAATAATAAAACTCACTGCAGAATTTCAATTATTTTTGATAAAATTTTAATAGAATTTCTCGAAAAATGTAATTATTCCTAAAATTTTTATTAAAATTCGCTGATAAAATTGAATTCTTTGAAAAAAGAAAATTTAATTCTTTAAAGATTGATTTCTTAAAAATGAATTGTAAAATCTTTAATAAAAATTGAATTCTTTAAAATTAATTGAAAAATCTTTTAAAAGAATTAAATATTCTTTAAACTGAATTGAAAAATCTTAAAAAGGAATTGAACTTTTTTTTTAAATAATTGACAAATCTTTGAAAAGAATAAAAAATTTTTGCAAAGAAAATTGAATTCGTTAAAAAGAATTGAATATTTTAAAAAATGAATTGAAAATTCTTTAAAATAATTGATAAATATTTGAAAAGAATAAAAAAATTTTACAAAGAAAATTGAATTTTTTGTAGAGAATTGAATATTTTTAAATGTAAATTGTAAAATCTTTAAAAAGTATTAAATTCTTCAAAATGAATTGAAAATCTTTGAGAAGAATTGAATATTCCACAAAACGAATTGAAAAATTTTGAAAAAGAATTAAATATTCGTGAAAATGAATTGAAAAATCTTGAAAAAGAATGGAATTATTTAGACATAATTAAAATCTGTGTAAAGAAAATTGAATTATTTAAAAGAAATTGAAAATTCTATAAGGAGAATTTAATTCTTTAAAATAAAATAAAATATTTTTTAAATTGAATTGAAAAATCTTGAATAAGAATTAAATTTTTTTTTTAAATAATTCATAATAAATTCTTATTATCGAAACGTCAATTCACATAATTTTCATATTTCGAAATACTATTCAACATAATTTTCATTTTGTCGAATAATCATTGATTCTAATTTTTAAATAATCCAATTGTTTTTTAACATAATTTTTATTCTGACTAATGTCTATTGGTTAGAAGTATTAAATGTTCGAATTATCAATTCGTTGAATGTTCAAAAAGTCGAATGCTAAAAACATCGAATTGTCAAATCGTCGAATGCTCAGAACATCGAATTGTCAATTCGTCGAATGCTCAAATAGTCGAAACGCCATCTGTTCGAATTGTCAAAGAGTAGAATGGTAAAGTAGTCGAATACTTAAAACGTCGAATCGTCAATTCGTCGAATGCTTAAAACATCGAATTGTCAGTTCGTCGAATGCTCAAAATGTCGAAATGTCAATTCGTCGAATCGTCAAAACGTCGAATTGCCAAAATATCGAAAAATTTGTTTGATTTAAGTTAACATTTGTTTCTTTTAAGTTAATGTTAACTTAAATCAAACAAATTTTTCGAAATTTTGGCAATTCGACGTTTTGACGATTCGACGAATTGACATTTCGACATTTTGAGCATTCGACGAACTGACAATTCGATGTTTTAAGCATTCGACGAATTGACAATTCGATGTTCTGAGCATTCGACGATTTGACAATTCGATGTTCTGAGCATTCGACGAATTGATAATTCGAACATTTAATACTTCTAACCAATAGACATTAGTCAGAATAAAAATTATGTTAAAAAACAATTCGAGTATTTAAAAATTAGAATCAATGATTATTCGACAAAATGAAAATTATGTTGAATAGTATTTCGAAATATGAAAATTATGTGAATTGACGTTTCGATAATAAAAATTTTGATGTTTTGAATATTATGAAATTGAATTTTGGGCAATAATCATGCGCCCCATAGAAAATATTTAATTTGAAAGAATTTCAAATAAAATTCTTATCAACTTTAATTAAAATTTTTTAATCGAAAGAAATTGAATGAAAATTCTTATTATATTTATAAAAAAATGTTTAAAGTCTGATAAATCGAAATTAAATAATAAAGAATGGGTAAATTGAAATTACCAATAGAAGAAAATTTTAAACTAATTTTTTAAACTATTTACAAAATTTTCTTGTAAGTAAAAACAAAAATAGTTTTTTTATTTTCAAATAAAAATATTAAAAGTATTTAAAAAACTGAATATTTAATAATATTTCCGGAATTTTGAAATAAAAACATTAATGAATTTATTTTCGAAACAAAAATTTATAAAAAGTAAATTTTGTATTTTGTACTATTTTTTAAAAAACTTGGCAAATTGCAATAAAAAAGTGGAAAAATTGTTTAAGGTGAAATAAAAAATTCATCTTTTCGATTATTTTTATTTATTGAACTTTTGGTAAAATAAAAATTATTTTATTTCGAAAATTCGGGGAAAAAAAAAATTCTGGTGCCCTTTTTTTCCTTTGAAAATAAAGACAAAGAAAAAAGAAGAGAAGAGAAAAGAAAAGAAAAAGAAAGAAAAAGAAATGTGGACAATTACAGTGTAAAGCAACAAGTTGCAATTATTTATTATTACAAATAGTTGTCCTGCTTTTTATATATAATATATTTATATATAATAATAATAATAAATTGAATTATTGTCGGGCGGAATTTTTTTTTATTTTTTCTTTTTTTTTACATAAAAAGGCGGTTTGTTGTTGATTCAAAAAGCAGAGATGACAATTAAATAGGACGAATCTAATAGGACTAACGTATAATCTAGAATTAAAGAACGTATACACGAGTTTTGGCATTCTCTACTTTTTGAATTTTTTTTTATCATTCAACACCAGCTTATAATTTAATTCCAAGGAAACGATTAATTTACTCTTTTTCACGTTGTATTTTTATTCTTTATTTTTTTTGTTTTTTTATTTTTTTATTTTTTCCTTTTTTCTCTATTTCTCTTTTTTCTCTTTTTTCTCCTTCAAAGGAAGAGAAAAAGATTTTTTTCGAAAAAAGGGTAAATTAATCGTTTCCTATTAGTTTTCTTTCCTCTGACATACAAGTTAGTTACACGTTTCTTTTTTTATAAGAAAAAGAAACTTTGAAAATATATATGTATCGTGGCTTTTCTCAGGAAGACGGGAATACAATACTTTTTGTCTTCGTGTGTCTCTCTAATTTTCAAAAGACATAAATATTAATAATGTAAGAAGAAAAAAGTATGCGTAGTATCGTTTTATAATTATTTTCAAAAGTCTATGCGTTCACTTTTTTTCGCTTTGAAAAAGAATTGACAATTTTTTTTTAATGAGAATTGAATATTTTTTTTTAAAGAGAATTGAATATTTTTTAAAGAAAATGGTAAAGTTCTTCAAAGAGAATTGAATTTTTTAATAAGAATTAAAAATTATATAAAAATAATTGAATTCGTTACAACAAGTTAAAAATTAATTTACCAAGAATTGAAAACTGTTTAATAAGAATTGAAAACTGTTTAATAAGAATTAAAAATTCTTTAAAAAGAATAAAAAATTCTTTAAAGTGAATTGAATATATTCTTTAAAGTTCACTGAATATTCATAGAAAAGAATTGAATTTTTCAAAAAGAATTGAAAATTCTTTAAAGAGAATTGAATATTTTTAAAGAAGAATTGAATACTTCAAAATGAATTGAAAATTATTTGAAAAGGATAAAAAGTTCTTTAAAGAGAATTGAATATTCTTAGGAGAGAATTGAATTTTTAAAAAGAATTGAAAATTCTTTAAAATAATTGACAACTCTTTGAAAAGAATAGAAAACGTTTTAAAAAAATTGAATTCTTTAAATAGATATAAATTTTCTTCAAAATGAATTAAAATATCTTAAAAAATAATTGAAAATATTTTAAAAAGAATTGAATTTTTTAAAAACAATTGGAAATTCTTTAGAAATAATTGAATACTACAAAAAATGTTTTTTTAATTTAATGAAATTAATAAAAAATTCTTTCAAGAGAATTGAATATTCGTAAAAAAGAATTGAATTCTTTAAAATAATTAACAAATCTTTGAAAATAATACAAAATTCTTTAAAAAGAATAAAATATTCTTCAAAAAGAATGGAAAATTCTTTAAAATAATTGACTAATCTTTGAAAAGAATAGGAAATGTTTCAAAGAGAATTGAATTCTATAAATAGAATTGAAAAGTTTTTAAAATGAATTGAAAATTCTCAAAAAGAATTTTCAATTCTATGAAAAGAATAACAAAGTTTTTAAAGAGAATTGAATATTCTTCAGAATGAATTTAAAAGTCTTTAAAAATAATTGAATTGTTTAAAACAAATTGAAAAATCTTTAGAAAGAATTGAATTTTCTAAAAAGAATTGAATATTCTTCAAAATGAATTGTAAAATCTTCAAAATGAATTGAAAAATCTTTAAAAAGAATTGAATATTCTTTAAAATGAATTGAAAAATCTTTGAAAAGAATTGAATTTTCCACAAAACGAATTGAAAAATCTTGAAAAAGAATTGAATATTTTTAAAGAAGAATTGAAAAATCATTAAAAATAATGGAATTCTTTAAACATAATTAAAAATTCTTTAAAAAAAATTGAATTCTTTAAAAAGAATTGAAAATTCTAAAAAGTGAATTGAATTCTTTAAAAATTAATTTTTTTCTCATTGGAAAACACTTTTTGTAATTAACAAAATTTTTACACGTTTAAATTGAAAGAATTTAATTAAAATTCTTATCAAATTTAAGAAAAATTTTTAATTTATGAAATTGAAAAAAAAATTCTCTTCAAATTTAAAGAACAAATTTTCAAATTTCAAGAAATTGAAAGAAAATTTTTTTCTTATTTTATAAAAATAAAGTTATTTGGAAAATTGGTATTAAAAATTCTTTTTTTTTTAAATTCTAATTTTAATTCTTTCTTTTCTCGTCTAATTGAATTGTTGGCATCATTTTTATTTTTCGTATTAAAATTTAATTTTCAAAAGACTAGTAGAAAATAATTATTATTATTATCATTATCATTATCATTATCATCAATTCTGGAGATTAGAGTATTAAAAATATTTATTTTCGAAAAAGTAGTAAAAAAACGCATTGTTAGACTGAAAAAAATTTTTGTTTCGAAAAATTTATTTTCTTTCTTACTTGAGGTTTCTTATTGCAAAAGGCATATAGGAAATTGTCATCGCTTAAGTATAATTAAGGGAGTACAATATATATATTTATAAAGAAGTGTATAAATGTATACATATATATATTTATAAATCTATATATATATACATATATATATTTTCATAAATCTACTCTCTAAATTTAAATTAGTAAAATTTTTTTGCTCATTGGAAAAATAGTGACTGACTTTTTACTTGAGATTTAATCAATTTTACTAATAAATAGCAATTTCTACTAATTAACTAGCAAAATTTAATTTTTGCTTTCGAATTAGTAAATTTTACTAAGAATTAGTAATTTTTTCTAAGAATTAGTAATTTTTACTAATAAGTAATAATTTTTACTAATTTATTAATAAAATTTACTTTTTGAATTTAAACTTGACTTTTTGCTTTCGATTTAGTAAATTTTAATAATAATTAGTCATTTTTACTAATTTATTGGTAAAATTTACTTTTTGAATTTAAAATTTACTTTTTGCTTTCGAATTAGTAAAATTTACTAAAAATAGTAATTTCCACTACTTTACTAGCAGAATTTACTTTTTGCTTTAGAATTAGTACATTTTACTAATAATTATGATTTTTTACTAATTCATTAGTAAATTTTACTAATAATTATATATTTTTACTAATTTATTAGTAAAAATTACTGTTTGAATTTAAAATTAACTTTTTGCTTTCGAAGTAGTTAATTTTACTGATTAATAGTAAAAATTTACTAAAAACAGTAATTTCCAAAAATTTATTAGAAAAAATATACTTTTCGAATTTAAAATTGACTTTTTGCTTTCGAATTAGTAAATTTTACTAACAAATAATAGTTTCTACTAATTTATTAGTAAATTTCACTTTTGGAATTCAAAACTGACTCTTTGCTTTCGAATTAGTAAATTTCACTAATAAATAGCAATTTTCACTAATAAATAGTGATTTTTACTAAAAAATAGCAATTTTTTACTAATACATTAGTAAAATTGACTCTTTGCTTTGATTATAGTAAATTTTACTAATTTATAATTAAAATTTACTTTTTAAATTTGAAATTGACTTTTTGCTTTGGGACTAGTAAATTTTACTCATAAAAAGTAAAAATTTACTAGAAATAGTAATTTCCAGTAAAATTGACTTTTTGAATTTAAAATTGACTTTTTGCTTTCTAATTAGTAAATTTTACTGATAAATAGTAAAAATTTACTAAAAATAGTAATTTCCACAAATTTATTAGTAAAATCTACTTTTTGAATTTAAAATTGACTTTTTGCTTTCAAATTATTAAATTTTACTAAAAATAGTAATTTTTACTAACATAAATAGTGATTTTGACTAATAAATAGCAATTTTTAATTATAAATAGTTATTTTTACTAATAAATAGTAATTTCTATTAATTGGTTAATAAAATTTAGTTTTTGAATTTAAAATTGTCTTTAAAGCTTTCAAATTATTTATTTATTTATTTATTTATTAAGAATGTTCCTAGGGCTAAAGAGCCCTTTAAGGTACAAAATATAAGTCATTAGTAATTTTTACTAATAAATAGGAATTTTTTTACTAATTTATTAGTAAAATTGACTTTTTGAATTTGAAATTGACTATTTGCTTTCAAAATAGTAAATTTTACTAATTTATAAGTAAAATTTACTTTTTGCTTTCGAGTTAATAAATTTTACTATAGATAGTAATTTTTACTAATATAAATAGTGATTTTGACTAATTAATAGCAATTTTTAATTATAAATAGTTATTTTTACTAATAAATAGTAATTTCTACTAATTTGTTAATAAAATTTAGTTTTTGAATTTAAAACTGATTTTAAAGCTTTTAAATTAGTAAATTTTACTAATTTATTAGTAAAATTGACTTTTTGAATTTGAAATTTACTTTTTGCTTTCAAAATAGTAAATTTTACTACTTTATAAGTAAAATTTTCGTTTTAAATGAAAAATTTTTTTTTGCCCTCATTTTTAGTAAGTTTTTACTAAAAATAGTCATTTTCACTAATTTATTAGTAAAATTGACTAAAAGTAGTTATTTCTACTAATTTTTTAGTAACATTGACTAAAAATAATAATTTCCACTAATTTATTAGTAAAATTGACTAAAAATAGTAACTTCCACTAATGTATTAGTAAAATTTACTAATTAAAAAGAAAAAAAGTCAGTCACTTATCGAAATTAGTAAAAAATTGTTACTAATTAAAATTTATAGAGTATATACATATATTTATATATTTATATATATGTATATATATAATGGATTGCCAGCTTGCCGGAGAAGCGAATTCATTTCCGGTTCTCCCCGCGAGCCGCTATTTGAGCTTTGAGTTGCGCTTAAAATTCCAAAAGAATTTTCTCTTATCCTTTTTTTCTCTCTTTCACTCTCACTCTCACTTTCTTTCTCTCTCTTTTTCTCTCTATTATTTTCGAGTCAACACCGATCGATACATAAATATAATAATATAAATAACACCGGAGTTTGGATCTATAAAGGTGGCACGTGTGGTCAAATATCTAGTGTCATTTTCCACAATGAAAAATTCTAATTGCGCGTAAATAGTCTTATTTATCCTAAAAAAAAAAAATTCCTATAAATATACGAGTAAAAAGTTTATCAGAGCTTTTTTTTATCATTCGCATTTTCTTATTTATACAAATTTGGAAAATACCAAAACATTCGTTGTTTGGTTTTTTTTTGTAAATTTTATAAAGAAATTTTTTTGCGAAATGGCTCTGAAGGTCCTATTATTAACTTTTATATTTTGAATATAAAGAGTTAAAAAAGATTTTTTTTTTGTTGCGATTTTTTTTTTAAATTGTTAGTTGAGCGAGGATTTGTGCCCTCGTTGTGTGTCAGACTAAAAAAAATTAGCTCTTTTTTTTTACTAAACCATAAATTTTAACAAATTGAAAATTTTGTTTCGAAAATTGTTAAAAATTATGGTGCAGTGCGTTACATTTCGATACATTTTTTTTCTTTACCTAACTACGTTATTTTCGGGAAAATTTTGTGATAAAAATTTTGCCGAGGACGATTTTTTTTTTTTGCTTTTCTTGACACTTGATATGGCAGGAATTGCTGCTGTCAGATTAAATTCTATTTTGGCAACAACAAAGGCACAGTCATAAGTCTCGTGTTTTCGCTGTTTTTTCATCCTCGCTATTTTCGAAAATAAAAAAAAAAATTATTTCGTCGAGATCGATTGTTTTCTTAAAAAACAGCACGAAAAAAAAAATTATTATTACTGTCCTTTGAGACACGTTTTTTTATTCTTCCATTTTGGCACTTGGAACGCGCCTTACTCTCATTCATTTTTCATTTATATATATATGTGTGTATATATAACATATAATAATATATAAATGTTTTGGCCACTTTGTTCATTTTCGCTGATCACACACATTTTTTTTTTTTTTAATGTCTTTATGTTTCGCGAAATTAAAGTAGTCTAGATTAAAAAGTTTTTTTTTCTGTTTTTGCTTTCACTTTTATACAACACACTTTCGTTTTTCGTCACGTTGAATTAATTAGCGAGTTCACAATTATTAACAATTGATGGCTCATCTTCGTTTTCGAGCTGTTGCGGCGGCGATCATTTGCCTCAGCATTGGTTCGGGTGTGCAAACCTTGGGATCACATTTCATTTTACCATCACCTCCGCAACTGTGAATTGAGAAAAAAATTGTTGTTATTTTGTGGATAGAAACATTGTTTTCTTAAATTTAGTCTTAATTTAATTAATTAATTAATTAATTAATTAATTGTACCCAAATAGGAGCATAACGTAAAAAATGTAGTAAATAGTAGGTTTTCGTAGATAAGTACAAAGCCTGTGCTGTTATTCGCTATTTTTGTTTAGCTAAGTAAGGAAAGTAATTAGCGACAAATTTATCTAGAATTAAGAAAATTATTTAATTAATTAATTTAATAATTAATTAAATGATGAATGACACTTACGTGCATTGAAGGCACGGTCCAGAGGATGACTTGATGGTTTCACCAACGCGATATGCTTGACCGCGTATTTGACATCCACTCCTCCTGGTCGCACCCTTATAAGGATGCGAGAGGAAATGTGGCGGTAGCGTTGTCGTTGTCGTCGTTGTTGTTGTCGTTAAATTCAGCGTCATTGCCATTGAGACAGGACACTCGTACCTGGGACAACAGAAACCAGAAATAGGCTCCTCATGACAGCCAGGAATTGGTGGCGGACAACTCTGTTGTAAGCAAATGATATCGCTTCTAAAGCAAAAGCAGAAATCGCAAGGATCGTCTCTTGGTATTTGTTGAGCAGACATGTAAACCTTGCCACCGTATCGGCAAGTTCCCGGTCCATACACCTCCTTATCGTCCTCAGTCTCATAGTCGTCGGGAATCATGTGAGTGCCACCGTCAATTGGGAAGTTTGGATTGTAGTCGTCTGTCATTGTTTGATCGGGATATTGTCCACTTTCTGATGACGAGGCGATTGTACTCGATGTGCCAAAGAAGCCGGGACCAACGGTTTCCTGATCGGGACTCACGGTTAATTGGGATTCATTTTCGTCGGGGTGGGATGGTAGGTCCGGTTGTTGTGGTACGTGACTTTCAGTGTGTTGATCCAGATCGCCTTCTGTTCCTTCTTCGGTTGTTTCGGTGGATGCGTCCTGGGGTATTTTGACTGTTACTTGTCCCTGAGGTTCGCTGAATGATGGTCCAGTTTGTTCGGTTGATTCGTCTGGAGATGAAGATCCAGTTATCTCCGAAGAAATTGTTTCTTCAGTAGCGGGTTGAGTTTCCTTCTGCTCTGTAATTGTCGATTCGGTGCCACTTGGAATTTCCTCAGTCTTTTCGGGTGTTCCACTGGCGGGAATGTCCGTTTTCGGTTCCGTGGACGTTTGTTCGGTGACTTCGGATATTTTCGGTCCTAGGGAAACATCAGTAGAAGGTGCTTCTTCACCCTTTGTTGTTTCTTCCTCAGTTTTCGTTGGTTCTTGACTAACTTCCGGTGATTCGCTCGATACTACCGGTGTTTCCGGTCTGTAACTTGATGATCCGTCACCGGAAACCGTTGGTTCCGGTGAAGCTTCTTTTTCTGGACTTTCGGTAATTTCTGCACTAGTACTTTCGGGTGTTTGTTTCTCTGTTTCGGTTTCCGTAACTTCCGGCACTTCTTTTTCTGGTGTCATTGCTGATTCGCTACTGCTTTCCACTGTAACTCCTTCAGGTCCTTTAGTAATGTCAACTTCGGGAGCTTGTTCCTTAGTTACACTGGAATCCTCAATCGTCACTTCAGTAGGAACTCCTTCCTTTTCAATAGCTGATGTTTCCGGGGTCGAACCTTCGGAAACTTTGACTTCTGTAGTTGGCACTGTTTCCTTTTCAACTCCGGAACTTGTCGATTCGTCCCCGGATGGCGAAGAGGGTTCTGCTGATGATTCTTCTGTCGACACTGCTTGTCCTTCGGTTGGTGCGAAAGTTTCCTCAGAACTAGGAGACGTGGGTCCTTCTTTCACGGGAGTTTCCGGTTTGGCAGTTTCCGAAACGTCTGTCATCTCCGTTCCTGGTGATTCTTTTTCGGGAATTGCTGTTCCCTCGGGAATTTCCGATTGAGCCGTTTCGGTCATTTCTGGAATCTTAGTATCAACTTTAGGTGTTTCCTCCGTGATGTCATGGTCAGCAGTTACAGGAATCTCCGTCTTTGGTAATTCAGTTTCCGATTTTTCCGTCACCGGACTTTCGGGAACTTCGGGGGTAATTTTGCCTGGTTTTTCTGTTTCGTCGGACGTTTTTTCTGCACTTTCAGTAACTTCCGGCACTTCTTTTTCTGGTGTCATTGCTGATTCGCTACTGCTTTCCACTGTAACTCCTTCGGGTCCTTTCGTAATGTCAACTTCGGGAGTTTGTTCCTTAGTTACACTGGATTCGTCAATCGTAACTTCGGTAGGAACCTCTTTTTCGGTTGCGGTTGTTTCTGGCGTGGAGCCTTCGACTCCCACAGTTGGCACTGTTTCCTTTTCTGCTCCCGAACTTGTCGATTCGTCCCCGGATGGCGAGGAGGGTTCTGCTGATGATTCTTCTGTCGATACTGCTTGTCCTTCGGTTGAAGTAAACGTTTCTTCAGCACTAGGAGACGTGGGTCCTTCTTTAATGGAAGGTTCCTCTCCCGGTTTGGCAGTTTCTGAAACTTCTGTCATTTCCGTTTGCGCCGGTTCCTTTTCAGGAATTGCTGTACCTTCTGGAACTTCTTTCTCTGGAATTGCCGTTCCTTCCGAAATTCCTTTGTCAGGAGTTGCCGTTGTTTCTGGAACTTCTTTTTCTGGAATTGCAGTTCCCTCTGTTACCTCTTTCTCTGGAATAGCAGTTCCCTCTGGAGCTTCTTTTTCTGGACTTGTAGCCTCTGGAATTGCGGTTCCCTCTGGAGCTTCTTTCTCCGGACTTGTGGCCTCTGGAATAGCAGTTCCCTCTGGAGCTTCTTTCTCCGAACTTGTAACCTCTGGGATTGCGGTTCCCTCTGAACCCTCTTTCTCCGGACTTGTAACCTCTGGAATTGCAGTTCCCTCTGGAGCCTCCTTCTCCGGACTTGTGGCCTCTGGAATTGCAGTTCCCTCTGGAGCCTCCTTCTCCGGAGTTGTGGCCTCTGGAATTGCAGTTCCCTCTGGAGCCTCCTTCTCCGGACTTGTGGCCTCTGGAATAGCAGTTCCCTCAGGTGTCTCTTTCTCCGGACTTGTAACCTCTGGAATTGCAGTTCCCTCTGGAGCCTCCTTTTCTGATGATGTTACCTCTGGACCTTCTTTCTCAGGAATTGCCGTTGCTTCTGAAACCTTCTCTGGAGCTGACGTTCCCTCTGGAACTTCCTTCTCAGGAATTTCAGTGCCTTCGGGAACTTTAGTATCTGGCATTTCAGTTCTATCGGAAACCTGCATGTCTGTCATTTCCGTAATTTCTGGACTTGCCTTTTCGGTTACTTCAGTTCCCTGTGGACCTTCAACCTCGGGTGTTTGGGTTCCTTCCGGAATTTCGGATATTGCCGGAGTTTCTGGTGTTTCCTTTTCGGTGACTTCGGTCATTTCGGGAATCTTTGTTTCCGCTTCTTTTTCTGTGGTGTCTGGCGTTTCTTTCGCTGGTGTCTGCGCTCCTTCAGAGACGTCTATCTTTATCTCAGTTACGGGACTTTCGGTTTCAGTCGATTCGGGTATCGTTTGTCCTTCGCTACTGGTTTCTACAGTGATTCCCTCGGGTCCTTTCGTGATATCGCTTTCTGTTTCTGCTTTGGTTACACTGGAATCCTCAATTGTGACTTCGGTAGGAACTCCTTCTTTTTCGGTAGCTGATGTCTCTGGGGTCGATCCTTCGGAGACTTTGACTTCTGTAGTTGGCATTGTTTCTTTTTCAGCTCCCGAACTTGTTGATTCGTCCCCGGATGGTGAAGAGGGTTCCACAGATGATGACGTCGGAACTTCTACCTCGGTCGGACTGAACGTTGCCGATGTTCCTTCTGCGGGAGAACTGGATTCGATTTCCTTAGTTACGGTCTCTTCAGGTGTCGAAACGTCCGTTTCAGCTTTAGTTGCCTCTGGTTCTGATTTAACTGTTCCAGTTTCTGGTGTTCCTTCCGGTGTCTTCTCGGTGCCCTCGGCTGGTACGTCTGTTACTTTCACTCCTGTCTCAGGTGTTTGGGGTTCTACGGAAGTTTTCTCGGTCTTTTCGGAAACTTCGTCTCCTACCGTAGAGCTAGGCGTTGCTTCGTCGGAAACCGTCGTCTCTGTTCCCTTTTCTTCACTAGTGGTGCCTACAGAAACCGGTACTTCTGTTCCAGGAGATTCGACACTGGAATCAGTGACAACCTTACTTTCCGTTTCTGTCGATGAAACCTCCGTTGCTATCGTCGCTTCTGTCATCTCTCCAGGAGTTAATTTCGTAGCTTCTTCTTTCCTTGTAGCCTCAGTCTGTACCGATTCGGATGTTCCCTCACTGACAGTTACAGAAACATCTTCCTCTGGTTTTTTAGTTTCTTTTTCAACCGACACTGTTGTGGCGTCTGTCTTTTCGTACTCTGGTGTTTTTCCCGCCATTTGATTGTCAGATTCGAGAGTTGCGGACGTTTCGGAGTCACAGGCATACATTGGACAGCAGGAGTCGGATGTTATGTGTGGGGTACAATTTGCTAAATGCTTAGGTGGTGGTGAACACTCTACCATATCGCAGTGGACAATACTGCTGATACATATACATCTCGATTGGCAAGGATTGACTGGTGGTATGGCGGTATTATTGTAGTAGGATTGTCCATCAACGAGACAGTTTCCTTCGCCGGGGATACCCATCGAAGTGTGGGTGTCCTCTGTAGGACTGGTTTGCTCAACTTCGGTTGGTGACGATTCTTCTGATGGACCGGGTGAGAAGGACATGGTTTCCGGTTTCATCTCCTCTGGTATGCTAACTTTAGTTACGAATTCCTCATCAACTGGTTCTTTTGTAATTTCAGTTTTTTCCACCCCACTTTCTGTTGGTTCGTCCTTAATGGTCGGTTGGGTTTCATCAATAGCCGGTGATTCAGTCTTAGTTGTCTCTGATACTCCTGCAGCTTCCGTCGGTAATTTACCTTCCGTGGCTGTGGTTTCCGTAACCGGACTTTCGGGTATTCTTACATCAATGTTGGGGATCTCTGCTGGACTCTTTCCTTCTAATTCCATTTCTGTGCTTGCTTCCGTTATTTCTGTTTTAGCTTCCGTCGTTTCCTTTTTCGCAGGTTCCTCACTTGCTGTAACTTCTGGTTCGGTAGGTTTAATTTCACCTTCCGTTGAATGTGTCGTCTCTTGTGGTTTTTCGGAAATTCCGGATTCGGTGACTTTCACTTCATCAGTTGTTTCCTTTTCAGCCTCGGTCGATTCGCTCGGCTCCTTGGCGGTTTCTGAAGGAATTGATTGTGTCGTTTCTGGTTCGGTGACTTTTACACTTGTTTCGGTTTCGCCTTCTTTAGTGACAGGGGTTTCACTTGGTTCTTCAGCACTTGATGTGGTTTCAGAGGGTGTTTCTACGGGAATTTCGTTTGTTTCCTTGGGACCTTCAGTCGATTCGGCAGGAACTTCTGTTACTTCCTTTGGTTCTTGGGAAATTTCGTTTGAGTCGGCTGAAGTTGCTTCTGAAGGCACTGCGGATGTTTCTTTAGCAATTTCGGTGGTGTCTTTAGGTCCTTCGGTGGATTCTTTAGGTTCTTCGGTTGATTCTTTAGCTCCTTCGGTGGATTCCTTGGCTCCTTCGGTAGATTCCTTAGTTCCTTCGGTAGATTCTTTAGCTCCTTCGGTAGATTCAGTTTCCCCTTCAGTAGATTCTTTAACTCCTTCAGTAGATTCCTTAGGTCCCTCGGTAAATTCCTTAGGTCCTTCGGTAGATTCTTTGGGTCCCTCGGTAGATTCTTTGGTTTCCTCTGTAGATTCTTTAGGACCTTCGGTAGATTCTTTAGCTCCTTCAGTAGATTCTTTAGTTCCTTCAGTAGATTCAGTTTCCCCTTCAGTAGATTCTTTAGCTCCTTCAGTAGATTCCTTGGGTCCCTCGGTGGATTCCTTAGGACCTTCTGTAGGTTCTAATGGTGCTTCGCTGTCTTCCTTCGGACCTTTAGTAACTCCTTCCGTAGATACCGTGGGACCTTTAGGAGTTTCAGTGGATTCGGTAAATTCTGTAGCTTCCTTAGGAGCTTCACTTGATTCCTTAGGCGCCTCGGTTTTTTCAGCTTCAGTGGGTTCTTTAGGAGCTTCACTGGATTCAACAGGCATTTCGGTATCTTGCGGCGTTTCACTGGACTCCACTGGTACTACTGTTTCTTTAGGTGCCTCACTTGATTCTACTGGAGTTTCAGTTTCCTTAGGTGTCTCACTAGATTCCACTGGTATTTCAGTTTCTTTCGGAGTTTCACTGGATTCTACTGGCATTTCAGTTTCTTTTGGAGTCTCGCTGGACTCTACGGGAATTTCGGTTTCTTTAGGTGCCTCACTATTTTCGACTGGAGTTTCAGTTTCTTTTGGAATCTCACTAGATTCCACTGGAATTTCAGTTTCCTTAGGAGTCTCGCTAGATTCCACTGGTGCTTCTGTTTCCTTTGGAGTCTCGCTGGATTCTACAGGCATTTCAGTTTCTTTTGGAGTCTCACTGGATTCTACTGGCATTTCAGTTTCTTTTGGAGTCTCGCTGGACTCTACGGGAATTTCGGTTTCTTTTGGTGTTTCACTAGATTCTACAGGCGTTTCGGTCTCTTTAGGTGCCTCACTAGATTCGACTGGAATTTCAGTTTCTTTTGGAGTCTCACTAGATTCTACTGGAATATCAGTTTCTTTAGGTGTCTCGCTAGATTCTACTGGTATTTCAGTCTCTTTCGGTGTCTCACTGGATTCCACTGGTACTTCAGTTTCCTTAGGAGTCTCACTAGATTCCACTGGCATTTCAGTTTCCTTTGGAGTCTCGCTAGATTCCACTGGTACTTCAGTTTCTTTTGGAGTTTCACTAGATTCTACAGGAATTTCAGTTTCTTTCGGAGTCACACTGGATTCGACTGGTATTTCAGTCTCTTTCGGTGTCTCACTGGATTCCACTGGTACTTCAGTTTCCTTAGGAGTCTCACTAGATTCCACTGGCATTTCAGTTTCTTTCGGAGTTTCACTGGATTCTACGGGAATTTCGGTTTCTTTCGGAGTTTCACTGGATTCTACGGGCGTTTCGGTTTCTTTTGGTGCCTCACTAGATTCCACTGGAATTTCAGTTTCCTTTGGAACCTCACTGGATTCTACAGGGGTTTCTGTTTCCTTGGGAGCTTCACTGGATTCTACAGGTACTTCAGTGTCTTTAGGTCCTTCAGTTCCTTTAGGAGCTTCACTGGATTCTTTCGGTTCTTCAGTGCCCTCCTTGGGAATTTCACCGGATTCTGTAGGAGTTTCAGATTCTTTAGGAGCCTCACTGGATTCTTTCGGCGCTTCAGTGTCCTGCTTGGGAGTTTCACTAGATTCCACAGGTGCTTCAGTATCTTTAGGCAAATCACTAGTTTCAGCAGGCGTTTCAGTTCCCTCCTTAGGAATTTCACTGGTTTCTTTAGGAACCGGAGTTTCTTCCTTTGGAGCTTCACTAGATTCTACAGGCGCTTCAGTAACCTTCGGACTTTCTGTGTCTTTAGGACCTTCCGTACCTTCAGGAATTTCGGTATCTACAGGTGTTTCGCTAACTTTAGGTATTTCGGTACCTTCAGGACTTTCGCTAACTTTAGGGATTTCGGAACCTTCAGGACTTTCGCTGACTTTAGGTATTTCGGTACCTTCCGGACTTTCGGTTTCTTTAGGACCTTCGCTAGATTCCTTGGGTACTTCCGTATCCTTAGCACCCTCGGTAGATTCCGCAGGACCGTCACTAGCAACCTTAGTTGTATCATCTTTCGGAATGGACGTCACCTTCGTTTCGGTTTCCTTGTCTGTTATACTAGGTACTTCCGTCCTTTCGATTTCGGTCGTGATAGCTTTGTCCGTTATTCCTAGGGTTTCATCAGTCTGTTCCGTTTTTGAGGTATATGGAGGTAGATAAGTTGTAGGTACAAAAGTAGTTGGACCGAATTCATTGGTTTCCGTTGCTTGGCTATCGGTGTGTCCTTCCGGACGTCCGGTTGGTCCGTAACCATCACCAATTTCGACCTCATCAATTACGTTGTCGTCCTTCTTGTTCTCTGGCCGCCTGGCTGGTAGCGGAACTCCTGCTGGACCCTGTGTTGGAAGAGACGGTATTTCTTGGGACTCTTGGGTAGTGTCATCAGTTATTCCCTGATCATCTTTTTTGGGTTCTACCGTTTCGATCGGAGTTTCCGTTTCTTTATCCGTGGCGTCTGGGGTAGTTTTCGATGCAGCTTCCTCTTCTGTCGTGTCGGATGACACTCCTTCGGTTGTTTCTTTTTCAGCTCCTGCTCCTTGGGTCGGAATTGTTTCCGTCACACGTTCCATCGGTTCCTTTGTACTTTCATCGACTTGTATTTCCTCCGGTGATGTTTCCATCTTTGGAACTTCGGTCATCTCCACTTCCTCTTTCGGCTTCTCCGACGATTCGACCCTGTCTTCAAATTTAGGCGTTTCGACTTTCTCCCCTAAAGTCGTTTCACTAATCGACGTTTCGGTTGTTCTGAATTCGTGATCCTCTGGAATAGCATTGTCAGCACCGGGGAATTTATCATCTGACTTGTCAATTTTATCGCTCGCCTCGGTAATGTGACTTTCGGTTTGAATTGTTGTCTCGGTTCCCGGTTCGGTTTGGAAGTCGTTCTCTGTGAAGGAGGAATAGAAAATTAGTTGATAGAAATACGGTAGAGATTGTAATAGTGATTGAAATTTTTTTTTCGAAATTAGATTCTTACCGCACTGATACGTGGTTGGGCAACATTCTCCCTCGGGCGGAGGAAGAGCCGTGCAATTCTTGCCATGGGTCTTCATAGGCGTACCGCAGTCTTGAACCGCGCAGGCAATATCGCCACCGAAGCAATAACAATGTGTGCATGGATGTGTCGAGGAAATGAAATTTCCTTCATCATACAATTTTCCCTCGTGAGAACACTGTCGATTCGCAATGCCAGGTGCCATTGTTGTGGTCATCATGAGGCCAGGTGTTGGTCCAATTGTAGTCTCCGATATTTCGTCATAATCTACAAAAGAATTTTTCAATTACCCTAGGAATCTAAATACAAATAGAAAAGTTTTAAATTCCACTACTTTTTTAGATTCACTCCTGTAGGGAAATAGATAAATTACCGCAATTGTATTTGACTGGACAACAAATTCCGGGTTGATAAATTGGTCTGCATCCGGCAACGCGTAGTGTACATTCCTGTATGACGCAGGTTGTTTTATTTCTGATGCAGTAGCATAATTCACATGGATTACTGTAGTCAATTGGCAGTTGAACACCGTCGGCGTAAAATCGATTATTGATGTTGCAACCGTAATTGTCGGGGAAGCCAAGATCAGTGCCAGAACCCGATGGATTATTTGTTGTTGATGTTAGAAGTTGAACGGGAACTTCGGGACATGTTATCACTGGACAACATTGGTCGGGTCGTTTCTCAACGATACAGTCTTGACCAATTGCCTTTGTGAATGGACATACCCTCAAGTAGCACATCAACATTCGATTATGACACGTACAATTCAAACATGGTTCGTTCGTTATAATTCGATCACCCTCTTGATAGTGTTGAAAATTATAGTAACAACCTGTTGCACCTAAAAACAAAATTCAAAATCAATCTGGTTTCTTCTATTCGGATGTAGTAGAGCTAAATTAACGGTATAGTTAATTGACAAAAAAAGTAATTGAAGAAAAAAAAGTTACTGCATACCTCCATCGTACTCTGCAACTTGTGTCGTATCTTGATCGTATACTGGTGCTGTAACAAAAAAGCGGAATGAAGGTTATTGTCTTGGTAACGGCAGGAGCTAGTCGATACTATACATTGATTTCCCCTTCCTAAAAAAGACACTCGTTTACTTTACTACTTTAATCTCGAATTTGATTTTGAATTCAATATCCAAAATTGGTTAATCTAATTCTTTTTTATTTTCATAATATAATAATCAAAATTATTATGATGAAATAGCGAAGCTACTGCTTAACTGCTTAACAAGTTAATTTTAATTTTAATTTTGATGAAGTGAAAAGTATTTTGTGTAAAAGATAAATTGATGAGTGGGGAAGAAGGTCTCTCTTATTTTTTTGGTGGTGAATGGTCGCAGCCCCTCAGGACGAGACGTTTATCATAGTAATTACTACCGGGATATGTTTGTTTGAAGGGTGTGGACCTGCTCCTGACTCAACAACAGAAATGAGTCAAAGCGTCATATGGCGCGAACATGTACATGGGCAAATTCTCATTAACACTCTCACTCACCCTAGTCGAACGAATTCTATGGACGAGAGAAACAGAATGCAGAATCCTCCCTATTCTCATATATACATGTCCCTATATATATCTCTCTCACTAGCTTTAACCATTTTCACAATTTCCCCCCTAGATTGAAGTGTCGTGCACAGAAGTTGGGTTCAATTGTTCCCAAATGCACTAACTCTCATCAACGACACGATTGTTGATCTTTCACGTCCCTTATTTTCCTGGCTATATGTATACTTCTCATCAAGATTCTCTTTGGAATAGTAATAACAATAGTCATAATAGTAATAACAATAGTAATAATAATAATAATAGTAATAAAAATAATAGTAGAAAAATAATAGTAATAATAACAATGGTAATAACAATAAGAATAGTAAGAATGACAGTAATAATTATTTCCTTTTTGCAGGTGGACCGAGAGGACAATTTAAATACAGTAACAATTCGTAATTCAATTGGAGTATGAGGAGAATTTAAATGCAGGAACAGATCGTAATGCAGTCACAATAGTAAGTGAAAGCTAATTAAAAGCATAAGAAACTAGAGGATAAAGAGTTTCTTTAGTGTCCAAGAGGGAGGGGTTTCTAAGGTGAAATTCTGAGCCAGGGTTGGAAAAAGGGGAAATTTGGGAAACTGAAATGGGTTTCTCAATTTAAATACAGTAACAAATCGTAATTCAATTGGACTATGAGGACAATTTAAATGCAGGAACAAATCGTAATACAGTCACAGTACTAAGTGAAAGCTAATTAAAAGCATAAGAAACTAGAGGATAAAGAGTTTCTTTAGTGTCCAAGAGGGGGGGTTCTAAGGTGAAATTCTGAGCCAGGGTTGGGAAAAGGGGAAATTGAAATGGGTCCAGGGAAATTAAATGAACAAGTCGGTATATTTAGAATTTATTATCTGTTATTATTTAGAATTTATTTATTATCATTTAGAATTTATTTATTTCTTAATTTCTTTTTAAAAATTAAGTTTGCAATTCTTTTCTGAAATTAAATTTTCCAAAGGGTATTTAAAGTCCTTGAAGAATTTTTGTATTGATGTAGGGAAAAAAAGAAACGTGTAGTGTATAATTCTAAACGAATCAAGAAGTGAAAATTTTTTTTCTACATTTTGCTGTGAGAGTGTGACGTAGTTTATTGTTTCATTGAAGTTATTGAATTTAAATGGGAGAGGATATGGAATACTTGGGTTAGGAATCAGCATTCCGTGGTAAAGGAAAGAGGGGGGTGGAGGTACAGACGGTTTTACAGCGAATTGAATTGTACGGAGAACAGCAGGCTCCGTGAATGGGGACCATCGTGACTCGTGTTCCATGACGGCTCGACCTGCATGCCTCCACGTTACGCAGTTTTGCACGTAATCGTACAATATAAGCGTTTTGCAACACCTTGATTATCATTGTTCGAACGTAATTTGCCGATAAATGCTATTAATAAATTCACCCCCCGATTTTTTTTTGCTTTTTTCTTTCTTTCTCTCTCTCTTTTCTCATTCCCTTTTTCGTTATTCTTCATTCTTTGTTTCTTGCTCTTTATTTCCTGTTCTTTTTGCTTTCATTCTATCTTCTGTCTTTGTTATATTCTTTAATTCTGAAATTTCTTTCTTTCCCTAATTTCTTCTATTCTTTTCTATCATTCTTACTTTTTCTTATTGTCTTTCTATTTTTCATTTTATTTTCCATTCTCTTTCCTATTGTATCACTTTCATTTTTTCTTTTTTTATTCTTTTGCCTAATTTTCTATTTTTTCTTCTTTCTCTTTTCCATTTCAATCAAAAATATCCATTATCTAAAAATCGCAAAATTTTCCAATCGAAAACAATAAATTTTAGCAATTAATGACAAAGTTTAAATTAAAAGATAAAAATAGTGGAAATAATATAAATTAGGAGTCAGAGATTAGAATTCTTAGTTAATATAGAAAATCTATTACCGTTACTTATCCGAAGCAAATTAATAATTTCAATTAAAGAAGTACAGTTTTAGAACTAAAAAATGGATATATTTTCGTAACAATAAATTTCAATTATAATCGAATCGTACCAAGAAAGTTTTGTCTATTATTGTGGAAGTTATTTTCGATGGTAAAAAAAAGAAATCGAATGGTCTATTCTTTGATTCGAAATCGATATTTTAATCGGACAATACAGTTAACGGTATACAGATAGACTAAATACAAATTGAAGATGAGCAAAAAGAGGTTTGTTTTTGACATACGCAATAGAATCACATCCTCTTCCGTCCCAAATGGAACAATACAGAGACAGTTAGATCAATATCTATGGGTTTTTTTTTTATTGAGAGTCAACAATGTAGAAAAACAGTTTGAAGATAAGTTATATTTAGAGTGACTTTTACTATATTCGAAACGAAATTTTTAGGTAATGGTAAAAATACAGGATTGCCACCGGTCAGGGAATTTAGGGAAAAGTCAGGGAAAGTAGAATTGGTCGGGGAAATTAGGTAAAAGTCAGGAATTTTTATTAAAAGTACTGGAAATTTTTTTTCTATTTCTAACCACAAAATGGATTTTTCATGTAGTTTAGTTATTTTAAATAACGTATAGTAAAATAAACAAATAAAAAATACTGTGGTGCGAATAGTAAAATTTACAGTACAGTAAAATTTACAATACTATTAAAAATAGTAAAAGTTTAATGAATTATTATTTAAAAGTAAAAAGAAAAGAGAAAGAGCCTTACGAATGTTATTTGCGTTTTAAGAGAAAAGAGAGAAGAATTCACCTGGTTTGTTGCCTTTTATAATACTCGCGCGCGACTCGAGTGGAGAGCAATATAGAGAGTCTCGTTTCATGTTATGAAATCATCGCTGTCGACCTTGCCTTCGCGAAAGTTCATTACCATTAACCGCATAGTCTGCTCTCGGTATAGTTACACCGTCTGCATGTAAATTCTTCTCATTTTTCAGGGTCACCGATGCGGTACAAAGGTCAAATTTTATCTCATGAGGCAAATCAAATTAGAAAAGTAAATTAACAAACTAAAATGGATTTAAATCCGGAAAAAGAAGTAACGGGGGTTTCTTTATTTTCTTCTTCATTCAAATCAAATATCTAATGAGGAAATTAAACTACATAACTGTTTTTTAAATTCAAAAAGAATTGCAAAAACCGTTTTTAAGTATTTTTGTTTGAAAAAAATAAGGAAAAATGGAAAGAATTGAGAAAAACGATTTTCGGAATTAGTAATTCGTGGTAGCTAATAATTTAGTTATGATTAACGTATAACCATATTAATATAACAATTTTTCAAGTCAATTTTTAGTAATAATTTTTTTTGAGCTTCTTCTGTTACTTTCACTATAGTAATAGTCGAATAAGTATTTATGAATAATTTTCCGCTTTTAAGAAAGAGTTTTTGTTTCTTCCATAAATATTACTGAAATACGTCGAGATATTTTAAGTTTGCATAGTATTATCCGAAATCGTTAATTTCCATATCCTGAGCGTTAAGAATTAATCTCCATTTACTAATTTTGAAAATATCGACCACTGTTTTACAAATGAAGTCACTTCCATTATCATATAGTATAGAACATTGAACTCGGACGTATTTTATAATATTCATAATTATAATTCAAAATTAATTATTAATTAATAATGCATAATTTATTATATCCTCGCGGTCAATTTTTTTCTTGCTAGTTTTTCTTTTCCTAGGATTTTTTTCTCTCTAGATTAATTTCAGTCAATTTATTAGGCAATTTATAATGAATATTCAATTCATTTGTTTAATTTAGGTAAGAGAGAGTAGAAATTTTTTTTTTAAACGAATTTTAGTCAATTTATAAATAAAAAAATTATAATCAAATTCTTTAAAACGATTCAATTATTTTCAAAAAATATTCAAAATTCTATTTTCAATATTTAGTATTTTCATCAAATTTCACAAAACAATTCAATTAAAATTTTAAAAAAATTTATAAAATTCGTCCAAAATTCAATTATTTTCATAAATAATAAAATATTCACATGAATTCAATTAATTTAGAATTGCATTTTCAAAAAAATGTCGAAAAAATCAAATATTTAACAAAATTTTTATTCAATTCTTCATAATAATTGAATTACTTTCTCTAATTCTTATGAAGAATTCAATTATTTTCAAAAATAACAAAATTTTTCACAGAAATTCAATTCTTTTTAAACATTTTAACAAAATTTTTCGCAATACTTAAATTATTTTCCTAAATAATAAAATTCTTCTCAGGAATTCAATTATTTTTGAAAATTTTACTAAAATTCTTTGCAACAATTCAATTATTTTCATAAACAATAAAATTCATCGCATGATTTCAATTATTTTTAATACAATTTTACAGAAATAGCTCAAAAAATATCATTATTCTTAAAAATTCAATAATTTTTTAGAATTTTAGAATTATTTTTCAAAAGTAATTGAATTTCTGCGAAGAATTAAATTCAGTTTCGAAAATAATTGAATTCTTGTGAAGAATTTTATTAATTTTTTAA